TCTCATCACTGAGTAGGCCGAAACTTACGGTTTTTAAGATCAAGTTGAAACTCGCCAAAACTACAAGGTAGATTCACACATACGGTAAAATTCCACTGAAACTCGCCTCCCTCACTAAGCCGCGGATTCAGCTGTATCACGGGTCTGTTCGTGCCCCAAAGCGATTACACTCCATTTTTTTCATGAACAGATTTGCTGCAAATTTTCTCGCTATGCATCCAGCTGCGGCTTTGCTTCAGGCGGTCACTGTGTTAAGTGTGTGCGTGTGTGTTTGAATGATCATCATCTAGAGCCATTTGCATAAGCAGAACGTTTCTGGTTTCTGATGTTCGTTGTATCTGCAGCCTTACGAAACCTTTGCCACAAAACACTGGTTACTGTATCGTACACGAAGCAATTCCTCGTCGGAAGTAGATTTGCCTCTAACTTTTTCCTCCGTGTCGCTTGCCGGCGCCCTGATCTACATCTGCCACCTTTGGACATCCAACAAGTGAAGCTGGTGGACTGGAGTAAGTGATTGATTTTCGACCAGTCTGTCTAAGCCGCATAACCTGCTCATTTCACTGAGAATATGGCCGCTCATTATGTGTCTTCCATACTGCCCAACATACCGCCCATGATTGATTATGGCAGAGGGACGCCAATGCTGCTCGACGTATCACCTCAAAGTCATATGAATCACTCGTCAGAATTACTGCGTGGGCGTGCTTGAAACCCCCAAAATATCGGGCTGTTATAAAAACACCTATCGTTAGGGTAAAGTAGCGTCCATTTGAATCAGTGCAGAATAACAATGTAACATGCTTTGCTATTAAACTTGTTACTAAGCTCATATTTTTATAGGGTTTTAATTATTTTAATTATTATGCGATATAATTGAGTTTTACTGCATTAAACATTATACAGTGAAATGCTTCGAAATAATGTCCCGGTGACAAATTTTGTAATACTGATTCGAACGTTAAGAATTTAAGAAATTCTCTACGCGTGTTAAGAAAACAACAGCTCTTCAGTAATGGAAGATAAAAACGTTAGATAAGTTCTGCTTTTATGAACCAAATTTTCTTTAATATAATTATTGTCCATTCCTGAGCGAAAGACTTTACCAAGAACTTCAGTTTTCTGCTGTTCTTTTCCGTCTTAAACTGATGAAAATCTCCAGCGCATCATGCTACCGACTTTGAGGCTACCTGAGGCATCTTACCATTATTTGAAACTCAGCCTTATTTATTGCTGGTCCAGAGATGGCGGCTCATTTCGTATCATATCTTTCCTCTGCCAATTTAACTCTTCACCTCTTGCAGTGACAGCGCTATCCATTCGTTCATAGTCACTTTTTAGTGCTGCTTTGCATGGTCTGCAGTTCATGAATTGTATTCAGAGTTAAAATGAAGTTCCAATCAATGGATCATCTAAAACTTACCGTTTTAAGCAAAATGACAATTATATGGATGGGAAAATTTAGTCTTCCAAAAGTTATTAATGCTCTCTTATTTCTTCTGTTGATTTCACGCAGTTGGTTATCCATTACAGAAGAATACACTTAGTTTTGCCCATCTTCAAGTCTAGGTCCATGGGCTCCAGCAGAAATCATAATTGTGTACTCTTTACATATGACCTGAGAGTTCATCAAGTTCATTTTCAGTCCCGCTTTAATTCTAGCATTGCTCAACCCTTCAGCCCTTCTTTTGAATTCTTCTGGCTGATCTTGAGAAAATCCACATATCTTCCGCAAACAGGACGTGGCTTAAGTTACAACTATTTTAAACATTTACTTTTAGCTCCTGATTTTTCCAGTGGAGTATATTGAAAACGCATTGTGCAGGGGCTGTGAAAAACTTGGATGATATTATATTACTCTACCTGATCCTTTGTTCGATGTTCGGTTTGCTTTTGCCTTCGTGAAACTTTACACTCGCCGCTGTATTCTCGTAAATCATGGAGATAGGTTCTCTATATCCGTTTAACCAATGTTCTGTACTTTAGTTCAACCCATGTCTGAGACGCGGTTTAACGTCCTATGCGCTGCAGGCGCTTAAATACCAGGTAGCCGTGACCTGCTTAAATGGTCCTCTGGGCATCTAGAAACATGGGGCAGTGCAATAGAGCTGCTGGGATAAGGTGAGAAATAAATTTTTCTTTATTTGCGCTATACATTTGCTGTTTCAATCCGGTATCATTATTTTTAATGAGGTAATGAACCCAGTGACAAAGTTTTCGAAGAATATATACATTATACAGTATATTTCACGTGATGAAAAAGATTACAGACGCATTCTTGTCATTTTTGGACCAAATAATTGGAAACAATGCTCTTGTGCTCCAGGTGTAGGTCAAAGAGTAGAAACTGTCCGTTTATTGCACTGAATGCAGATGGTTTCTCGTAGACGTTTGTGACGCCTCGCATGGACATCGGTCACCAGTCCGACACATTGAACTGGATCAAGCATGGCATTTAAATAAATTATCAATTCTCCCCGCATAAAGTTAAAAGTTCCATGTTCAATTTAAGGACCTCTGTACCTGAGCCTCGTTGAGTTACCACGTTAATCAGTAATAGAGCAATAGAAAATCCATCGCGTGATTTTGTGGTCAGGTGCCAAATCGATTCGCTTAAGGAGAGGACGAATTGAAGCGGAATTGAGTGGTCCAATTGTGCTTTTACGATTTCGACGATGATATGATATCATATCATGTGGTGAGGGGCAGTTGCAAAAGGCTGGTTTCGAACTCCGGAAGTGTCGGATTTGAATTTCAAGGAGGGAAAGACTTTTCTTAGTCGCTAATTTCCTTGACAAAGGATTAGTCCCCCGATGTTGCTTCGATTCTACCGGCCGAGAGACAGAGATCAAGTCGTTGACTTGTGAGCCGTTGTCATGGCGCGGTGTTTTGCAGTCATGCCAGAACGGGCGAACGGTACGGTTCTCATTGACTGACGCGTACGAATGCTTCTTACGGTGCCATTCGCCTTGATTTACCGTATACCTGGCTATCCATCGCCATATGCAACATAATTAATCCCTGCTGTTGTTGCTGTGTCACATCTTCTGACGTGCTAATCTTCAGCGATTAAGCTGCAGCCGCTTATTATCTTAGTCGACAGATTGGAAAGAGAATTCGACTCAGCTCAGAAAACTGCTGCTGCCAACAACCTTGTGTCACACGGCTGAGGGAGGTGACTAGCAACTTTGTTTCAACAACGTGAACAATGAATTGAGTGTTGTGACTCGGTCATAGAAGATGTTTGTCTGAATTTCTTGAACGCTTCTTATCGAGTCTCGGGGCGCACAGCTTGAAGGATCACAGCTAATCATATTCACATCAGAACAACCGAATTACCGCTTCTGCAGAATTCTGGGAAAAAGGTTGCTATGGAAATTCTCCTCATGGCAATTGGGAAAAAATGCTACTTTTGTTTTAGTGCCTCACACCGACACTCCTTTGTCTTGAGGTTCGATGCTGACTTCATGAGTCATGCTGCTGTCTGCTATCAGACGTGACCTTCTCCAAGCACTGTAAGATAATCCGCTTGAATTATTATTGAAGAGTGCATCGCACATGCGCACTGCTGTCAAGAGCACATGCGCTTTTCACACATCAGCAGCCAAACTTTGACCAATTGGCATTTCGCAATATGAGAATCATTCGCAGAATGCCTATGTTCGGAATTGACTCTGAAATGCCTCAGAAAAGTGAGGAAACCGTTGCCATGGCAATTATTTCCAAAATTCTCATCGTCATTCTGCCTGTGGCATTCCATTTTCTAGAGATATTGTCTTACTGTTCTAAGCTGCCGCAAAAAGAGGTATGATCTCAAAGTTGAGAGGATAACGCTGTCCCAAAGTTTAGAGTTTCTGGAGTCGTTGCTATAAATTACATGGTTTTCATGCGCATGAACGATATGCTGTCATTTTCCTGGCTGCGCTAAACGGATAAAATTCTGGTGTAAAGAGAGATCGAAATAAATCGCTTCCCACTACCGTAATCCGTCTATTCTAATTGTCGAAATCTTAATTCGACACTCGGACGTCGTCAGAAGGTGATTCCTTATTAATTGAAAAAGCCAATTAATTTGAGAAAATTGATTGAAACGCGGAAGGCATATGCTACAGACATCTTCACCTCCTCCCTCATACTGTAGTCTCGTTCAGTGACGTCATTAAAGCGATGAACGTCGGCCGGCGAAGCGTTATTATCGGTTTTGTGGCATTCCTTTAATGGCATGCTAATAACCGCAGAAAAGTCTTCGGCGAACGAGCGATATATGGGGATATCGGGAAGATGCATCGTGAGGATATGGAGGGCGATGGCGACGAGTGCCGTGTCGATCGATTTCGTGGGGCAGATCGGCGGCGGCGTCGTAAAAGTGTTTACCTCCTGTGGTAATTAGGTCGTTTGACGGTTTATTCGCAACTTTGATCGGGCGATTGTGCCACCGGCAATGACCAGATGCGGCCCGGCGACAGAATGGCCAGATTGGCTTAAGCTCAAGCGGGATTTATCACCGCCGATGAAAAATGACTCGTACCGCAAGTGGGCATTCTGCGGAAACGGTTTTCATTGTTCACCGAGGCGCGTTATCTGTAAGCGTCTGGCGGTTGTAGCCGGTACGACAGCGACAGGCCGAGTGTTGCGTCCCCGGCATCGGCCATGGCAGCAGCAGCTACAACTGAGGTAAATCGTTGCACGTTCCGCCGCCGTTTGTCGTTCTACCTCCGTCAGGAGTTTAAACTTCCAATCAGGTGCCGAAGCGGCCACTGCTAATATTTTATCGCCCCGTCGAACCGTGAACACAGATGGCAGAGGAGGGGGGGGCACGGCAGGCAGAAAAGCGCCATCACTTACCCTCACTCTCGGCTCCGTCAGACTGGTCCATAGAGCGATCTCTTCGCGAGCGGCCATGTCCGGATAGCGATTGCGGGCAAACACTGCTTCGAGCTCTTGCAACTGCTGGCTGGTGAAATGAGTCCGTTGACGTCTCTGTTTGTGCACCGGGGCGACCTCAGCCTCTGACTTGACGGTGGCGATCGTTTGTTTGTCGCACGCCTTCTTTGGGTCCAGACCCGGCGCTGCAATGCCTTTTGCCTGCTTGTCACCTGAAAACGTCATTCTTCAATTCATTGGAGGGAGATTCACACTCTAACAGTGTCCCTTCATCGCTTCCGACTAATATGTCCTCTCTCACGTGACTCAATCTCGGTCGGCACTCATCGTCGTGCCTCCGTTCTCGAACTACATGTCAATCTTATCGACAGAACGCGAGGAAGCAGATGAGGCGAATGGCACTGAGCCATATGGCCTGCTCCTATCGAGCAATGATGATTTCACAGATTTGAAACCTGCCAATTGACCAAATCGACGGTCCGAACGATTCTGCGATGTCTCTGACCAGATGCAATTGGAACTCTGTGTACGATGTCTCTTAATTTCCTGAGTTGGCATGTTTATAAACCAGATAAATTATGATTTCATGGAAGTAGTATCAAAGATTTTCAACGAATTCAAACTTGGAAACACGCTAAACTTCAGCAGGCGTTCTTCAGGCCTTAACGAAACCCGAAAGAGTGCCAGGCACAGATTTGAAACTGAAAATTGAGTCAATCGACAATCCAAAGGTTTCTGCGATGTCTCTGACGACATGTGGTAGTAATTCTATGCCTGATGTTTTGCCTTAAGGTTTTCTTCTGGCCAAGGTTCAGCTAATTTGTTTCCAGCTTGAATCCGTTTATAACGTTGCTTTGGCTTCTATCGATTCATGAGGTGTCCCACTTAAAAACATGCTAACTCAGGTAACCGTGACCCGAAAGGAGATTCAGTGAGGGAAGATGAAGATGAAGTTAATTCGTCTAAATAAAGCGTTGTTGAAATCAACAATTCAAACGAGGTGCAATCACGAGAGAAACTTGATTTGAAAATTAATCATGAAGGCGTCATACATTGAGAAAACGTTCAGCATTAAAGAAATTCTCGGAGGCTCAAATTCCAACTGAAACACAAGAACGAGATTTGGAGAAGATTCCATCAGAAGACATTAAGACCTTAAGAAGTGATCTTAGAGATGCACCAGCGCAGTATTCGAGGATCGCCATTTGTTGTTTCACCCTCAGTGACTCGTGAACCAGAAGGTCAGAGGTTGGTCTGAAATTTTGTACCTCTCCAAGAACTCCACCTTGGCACTGCTGTCGGGAAAGAATCAAAATAATGAGTTACATGCAGGACGTTGGAGACGGAGGGTAGCTCAACACAGACGAACTGTCGGTCAATCAGGCAATGAGATTCGATGACCATTTGTCGTTTTCATTTGCAAAGGCAGCCGTGTCGGACCCCAATCCTGCGCCAGCGTTTTGGTCCCAGCAGAAGAAAACCTGAGCTTAAAGTAGAGTCAGTTAGGCATTTCCTCCAAGTCATTTTTGGCTATCCCTGAGGTCTCGACTCATCGATAGAGAGGGTAGGAGATGCTGTGTCTTTTAATCCGGACGATCGCTTACCCATACAAACTGTCCTGAATTACAAAGCTGAAGCGTTTCCTTTGGACATGGATTTTTAGATGCCATCAATTTGAAATCTCTTTATTATTTCAATTTCAATTCAACATACTGAATTTGCTTTGTGTACGTGCACATCCTCGTTTTTCAGACCCCATCATGAGCATTCTGAGAGAAAGTCCGCTAAACAATCTTGTTCTGTTATACCGTATGCTCACCGAATATGAACCGGACAGCCACTGAAAAGATGAATGGATGAAAATACGAATATCGGATCAATGGCCTCAATGAAAGACATGATCACGTCCTCCACACTTCGAGGTGAAGTTCAAGATCTGGCCAAGTCGACATAATGATATCGCGTGTAATTTATCATTTGCATTCGTCATGAGCTTAAGTGCCTCAGTTACTGCAAATATAAAGACAGTGAAAATTTTTTCATCATGGCTTGTCCTCATGTGGCCCAACATTCACTTACTCAGCCTTACAGAAGAATCGAAGAAAACTTTGCCTGTTGCCTTCTCTGGCCTTCTGTGACATTAACTTAAGCCAGTAATAGCTCATTAGCCATAATAACTAAATAAACAGCAATAGGCACATCGAAGTAAGATTAGGAAGGTTAGATTTCAGTATTACGGATCAATAGTCTGAACGGCTGTGTTGATTTCATCCATATTTACGTGAGGTCGTCCAGAGCAAAGTTTATCATGTTTACATAATTTCCAACTGTTCTGAGGAAAGCGGGATTGGTAGGAAGCAAAGTACCTATAACAAACAGTCGTAATAATAACGTGCGTATAACTGAGGCATTTCTATGCATGTTAGAGTGCGTTGATATGACGTCAAACGCATTTAATCACCAAATTACGTGACCCATCGCTCCTGGTTGCCCATGGTCATTTAAACAGACTGAAACTCCACAGTATTTGAGTATTTTCAGTGTTAGGAGCACCTCACGGTGTTTAGGGCTTTCAGCAAGGCCAACTATCACTTGACATGTCTCAGTTTCTTAATATTATACCTCAGTCGACAGCCAAAAGTATCCGTTCCTGCGTTTTGGTGTGTTGATATGGCGTATAGCTCTGTCCCTCAACAGAATTCAAGATTGTTTTGCATTGGCCCCTTACTATACCTGTTGTTGACTTTCATTGTTATCTGAGGTTATCAGTGTTTAATCAGCAGGGTAACCGAGATTTATTATCACTGGCTGTTTGACGTTTAAACATACATACCAAAATGATTTAGAGTGCAGTTCATCCTTTTTCTTTTCGATGACCAATAAGTTACGCAACAGTAGTCGTGAGCACCTCAGTTACGCTGCTCGACAAAAACTTCTTATCAAGAACTTACAAGACAAACTGTTAAAACGCCAGGTCTACAGGAATCGACGTTTATGAACGCACATTTCGTTCATAAGGCCTACTGTAATATTTGATACAGTACAGTTAATATGATTTCATATAGGTGAAGTCACAGGGGTTAAGTTTTAGCATATACTAAGAGATTGATCATTTTGCTGGAAGCATATCTGACTAATCGTGTGTTTCCCGAAGAGTGATAAAGCATTAAATCTGACCCTGCAGAATTATGCAACACTGAATTTTTTCTGAAAGGAGGCAAATCGAACCATTGGTTTTTAAAGAGTGAATCATTTACTCTAATGGTCAAATGTACTCATGATGAAGAGTGAATTCGTGCAATGGCATGGAAAATATGTGGATGAATTATTATTCTTGGTTGTGAGAATCATCTGATTCAACGTGAACTTCATTGGTGCCGTTCTTTGTCAATCACATTACAGAAATATAATTCAGATGTATCTCTTAAGCTTATTGTTTTAAGGAATTTAATGCATGGCAAATTTGAGAAATTCCCCTTGAGAGGTCTACAGTATGCTAATCAGAGCTATGGGCAATGCGGCCAAGTATTTGTCTAATTCGTAGGAGTTCTATTTTCTGAAGTGCTTAAGACGCACCAGTATTTGAATGTTCAAAGCAGTACGTGGTGCCAATTGTGCAATCAGTTCCGAGTCATCAATCCGCTGCACATTATTTGTATGAGGCTTAGAAATTACCGTAATTGGCAACATTCATTTAACTGGAATCATGTTCCACCAAAAGTAGAACATCTGCAAGGTAGTCATGCAACCATGATGGAAAAAAGAGCCCTCATGATACCGATGAAACGTAATCCGCGAAAACTGGAAAATGCTTGATTCAATTGACTCCTGATTTAGGTACCATGCAGTAAACCTACGCTAACGACTGTGTACCTGAAAAAGAATTTAAACTAGCATCACTCAGTTGGTTCGGCGAACGAACGTGGCACAGGCGGTAGCAAAATGAGAGGTCCTGCGTGAATGGCATGCGAGGTGTTGGTTCTCATTGGCACTAACTCACGACGATTAGCATAGCATGTCATCCGTCCAAAGACTTAGAGTAAACACCGGCCGTGGAACGCCAGTAAACTTGGCTGTTAATCTCGCCTTAACGGCGCGCATCCGCCATAAAATTAGCGACGACGCGTCGAGCGAGAAACGGCCGGAACGGTGATGCGGTCGAGAGACGACCGTGACTCCCGAGGGTTGGAGAGGATTAAACAAGATTTACCTTTTCTTGTTTTGTTTTTTGAGGCGGTGTTCGGCGGAGGCGAAGCGACGGTAGGAGCTGAAGTGGCGACTACGGCCATCATCGGTGCCACGCTGCCGAGTGTTCCCTGTCCGCAGTCGTCCTTGGAGCTTGCGCCGGCGAAGTGCGAAAACGGGTCGAACGATGTCACCACCGTGTGGCCGTGGTTGCGGTCATTCTGGACACCAGTAGCCCCGGTAGAGATCTGCTGCTGCTGCTGCTGCTGCTGGTGGTGGTGGTGTTGCTGCTGCTGTGGTGGTGAGATAGCGATTGTAGTCTGGTCGGCCGCCGCGTCCGCGTTCGTCGCCGTCGCCGTCACCGTCGTCGCATTACTGTTCGGTGCAGGAGGACGAGGCTGAAGATTATCAAAGCCGAGGCTTACGCCTACCAGATGATCCATGATCGGCGCGCGGCGCTGAGACGCGCGGATTATCGCTCAGGTCTGATTTTGCGAGCGGCTCTGGTCGATCTCCCAAAATCCGGTGGTGCCTATTTTCGAGACCGGCCACTCT